GAGAGAGAGAGAGAGAGAGAGAGAGAGAGAGAGAGAGAGAGAGAGAGAGAGAGAGAGAGAGAGAGAGAGAGAGAGAGAGGGTGCATGAGAAAGATCTGCCTGAGCTACTGTCCAAGGTCACAGTGCCAAGTGTAATACGGTAATGCGTCTAAACTCACTTTTGTCTTTGTTAGCTTTGTACTTGCGCTTTCAGAGGAGATCAAAGACCTGTGCTTTTGGAGGAGATTAGAGACTGCCTTTGGATGCTATACATGACCTGCAACGGCTTCGCTCGTGGCACACAGATCTTTCTCCTCCCTGTCTTCCTCCCCCATGATTCCCAACTCTCTCTCTCTCTCTCTCTCTCTCTCTCTCTCTCTCTCTCTCTCTCTCTCTCTCTCTCTCTCGCTCGCTCTTGCTCTCTCCTGCCACAGCAGAAGAACACAAAAGAGCTTGGTAGAGCAGTTCACATGACAATGATCGGGCTAGCAAAACACCCACGAAACAAAGAAAGGTCTATGACAGGCAGAAAATACACTCCAGACACGATGTTGGTAGTACAGGCACAGCATGGCCGCATCGTGACGGCCCCGACCATAACTCAATCTGCCTGGAGAAAATTGTAGTAGGGTGCTATCGAAGTTGTGCTAGTCAAACAAAATTGCCCTGTAAACCATACGCAGAGAGTGAGAAAAGGACAACAAACGAGGCGCTGTGACGGATTGTTTTTTTATATTTTCACTGACCAATCAGGAGGCTGGACACAGTTTGCAGAATCCCCTAATTGAATCCCCTAATGGATTACACTGTAAGTGATAATTAATCTTAACCTTAGTATGGTTAAGCATCAACGATTGTCGACATAGTGCCAGCAGTGTGTTTGGGGTGTATTTTTTGGCTGTGATAGACCTTTGAATGATTGATGATGCCGGGAGTGCATCGGTTCCGCGCGGGGCGGGATCCTACCGACCGCGTCACGCAGGAGTTAGTTTGCTATCGCGATACACATGGAGCTTCCGCAAGCCGCTCCGGTCGAGTGCGCCAGCCATACCTCTCGTGAGCCCCTACGGGATAGGGCCTACGTGAGGTACAACTTACCTCCACTTTACGGGAGTTTGGTGGGCGTATCCCTACGCGAGGTACAACCCATCTCCACCTTGCGGGAACTGTCATATCCCTTCGGTGGACGTATCCCCGCTGAACTACCAGTCCACAATATGAAAGTTGATCGATTGCAACCGCAAAGGTGAATCAGCCGAGGGTGTTTTTCGTACGCTGTAGCATAGGGGTTACGCATGGTGTCGATGCCTCTATGAAACCCCCACGCGAACCGATTTACTGGGGGTTGAAGTTCTAAGCGCTATTCGTCGTCAGTCAACTATGTCGCATCCCACTCACCATGCATTGCACCACACTTCAAAATATAAAAATAAAACGCACACACATACACACACGGAACGACACAAAATAAAACAACACTCCCTGTCCCTTTAATATACAACCCATAACCTTTGATACAGAAATTAGTACAGCAACACGTGTAAGACGTAATATAAAATCTTGCGATCGCAGGGTCTTCTCATTTTGACTAGCAACGCATACTTACGCAAGCGGTCGCAACGATGACGTACTTTGTAGCATCTATAATCATGAGGTCCTCGTTAATCTGGAGGGTCCTATTCGACACTTCAGTGTCGGCTGACACGCGCCTTGAGGGGTTAATCTTTCAACGCTAGATAACCGTAAAGGCGGTTGATCACCACACCCTCTTCTGCATCCTGCGGAGAATGGGCGGTATACAGGTTCATACAGGTGGTTGCAATCGTCTCTTATTGCTCTAGAGATCAGCTTCATCATCCAAGGATCAAAAAGAACTCAAGGGGTTTGACTTTGACGGTTGTCATAGACTACAACATCCAACTAAACAGAAACTATAAAAAGCAAAGAATAAAAAGAGTCTCGTCGTCAGTCAACTATGACGCATCCTACTCACCACGCATTGCACCACACTTCAAAATAAAAAAATAAAACGCACACACATACACACACGGAACGACACAAAACAAAACAACACTCCTTGTCCTTTTAATATCCAACCCATAACCTTTTGATACAGAAATTGATACAGCAACACGTGTAAGACCTAATATAAAATCGTGCGATCGCAGGGTCTTCTCATTTTGACTACCAACGCATACTTACGCAAGCGGTCGCAATGATGATGTACTTTGTAGTATCTATAATCATGAGGTCCTCGTTACTGAAAGGTCGCATTCGACATTCCAGTGTCGGTTGACACACGCCTTGAGGGGTTAATCTTTCAACGCCAAATAACCGTCAAGGCGGTTGATCACCACACCCTCTTCTGCATCCTGCGGAGAATGGGTGGTATAGAGGTTCATACAGGTGGTTGCAATCGTCTCTTATTGCTCTAGAGACCAACTGTATCATCCAAGGCCTAAAGAGAACTCAAGGGGTTTGACTTTGACGGCTGTCATAGACTACAACATCCAACTAAACAAAAACTATAAAAAGCAAAGAATAAAAAAAGTTTCTTTTTTTTCTCAACGCATAGTTTGTTTAACCCTTGCGCACGGTTTAGTAAGCCGCGCGAGCACCGACGTGTATGTATGTACATATACATAAAGAGTAGTAAATATATGACGATCGCTTCTTACAATCACAGTGGGACTCCTCTTAGTTATATATATGTATGTGATCGCAGACAGTCGAATCCAAAGTCCGAACAAAAAAACATGTCTAAAACCACAAGGGTCAGAACCTTCAGATTGGGTAACAAGAGTGGATTGGAGTTGTGTCGTAAACCGACGAATCGGCAATCGATCTGTTATCAGTGATAACATATGATGATCCTCGTGGGATCAAGTTGAATCTAACGATCAAGAGGACCTGTAATACAAAACAGATCAATTCCCAAAGTTATTTATCAGTGTATGGGAAATGAACCTCCATAGCTTATTCTCACTCAAGATTTTTTTTCTGAACTAAGTTTATCTCTAAACCAGTGTCCAAAG